CCTTTAATTCATTATTCTAGCACTTAATCCCATTGCAAGATTTCCTTTTTGCAGATCATGACTAAGAATGACAGCTCTTCCACTTCAACCACACCAGAGGCTCATGATCAGACATGTCGCTTAGAAGAGCACCTTCGAAGTTTGGAGGATATGCTGGTTGCCCTTAGAGCCGACCTTGCTACCCTTCGTCTAAATATGATGGCTGCCATTAGAACTGACATTTCTCGCCTTCGTACGGAGATCTTGACTGCCATTGATGACTTAGCCAGGGAGATCCGTGGAGCTCCCTCTGCCTGAGACTTCCAGTCTCTTTATCTTTTTATGCTCCCTGTCTATGTTCTGTGTCTGCTACACTTGTGATACTATTATTTTTGTAGCAGGGTCTGCCGGCTTTGACAATCGATGCATCACACTTTGTTATTGTTCTTATCTATGATGGATATTATATGCTTTTATTGATACATCTGCCCTTTTAACTCCATCAGGTGCATCACAGTGACTTCAGTGAGAGAGTACTACCCAATTTTCAGGACCACCCTTATACCTCTCTCATTTCGTTTTCTGTTTATCCCATTTACACTTGCATGTTCACTGTGCACTGATTATCCCATTTTGTTATCTGATAAGTTTATCCAAGTGCCAATTTTCAGGACCACAGTTCATCCCAAGTTTGGGGGGGCCATGCCACCCACTTCGGATACTTCAGTCCCGATCATTCTTGCTTAGTTGCACTGGTATACTCTTTCCTTTGTTCTCTTTACACATTGAGGACATTGTGAAATTAAGTTTGGGGGGAATGGTACTCTATAGTGATAGTTTTAAATTCAAACTTTTAGCATGACTCGTGTATTTGAGGGATATTTCTATGATTGGTCCATATCTAGCCATGATTTTGATCTTTTGAGGACTATATTACTTAAAATTTAAAAATTGCTTGACTTGTGAGTCCAATACTCCTAGTATGCCTTATGAATGCCATTCAGGAGTAAACTTTTTGAAAGATTGATATCTTGCTTGCACTTGTGGTCCACATCATCTTGATTTTGTGATTGTTTTGAGATTCATTCTAGTCTTCTACACTAGCAAAGGCGCACACTAGCATTCATTTGTGGGGTACATGCTTTGTTAATTATTGAATTGGTTATATCCCAATTGAGCTAGTAGTGCATTGAAAGCTTTCATTCTTGATAAAAGTGGATAACAACCCATTTTCACTAAGTAACCGGGATTCTAGCCTCATCAAGCACTGAACTTCTCACGCCGAAAGGTGGAGGGCCCAAACTCTAGATTAATAATTGAATTTGCTTACAAAAAAAAAAAAAAAAGAGCAATAAAAAGTGAGGACTTCTCCCAAATGGTGAGAAGTGGGAAATAATTAGATGGTTGTTGTCTTGAATTGTAGCCTAGTTGATTTGAGCTTGTAAGTCCGTAGGGGTGTTTGAATGCCTAATACCCTAAAGCCGTCTGGTTTGGGAGTCATTGACCTAATGCTCGACCTCATAAATCGCTAGAAAGCTTAATAAATCAACACATTGCACTATACTTCCATCTTTGATCCTATTAAAAAAAAAAAAAAAATTGAGTGAAAAGAATAAGCGCACTTAGAACAATAAAGCTTTAATAAAAGGTCCACTTTTTGTCTTGATGATCGGTACTAGATTTGTATGCTAGTTTGAGGGTAAGGATGGGATTTATTCTTTAGTTGGTTTAGATAGTAACACATTGATGCCTGTCCACTCAAAAGAATTCTAGAATTGTTTTGATTTGCATGATCACTTTCTTGATGTGTAGAGGACCATACTTACTTGCTTGATATTGAAATTTTGAGAGATTGCTTAGAAAGGGTTGAAAAATTGCATACTTGAGGTAGTTTTCTCCCAATGCTTGTTTGCAATATTGGCACCTCTTTTGAAAAGAATGAGCTTAATGTTTGTGGGTACCATTTCTGGAAACCCTCACGAGACTTCACTCGTCTACTAGGGGTAACCTAGGGGTTTAAAAGGCTTGTTGTATATGTTAAATGCAATCGTGTTCCCTACGAAAGTGGCGCTATCCATTTATTGCTTTCTAGTTATAGTTGTATAGTTGTTCATTTCATTCATTTACTTTCTAGTTCATTGCTAGGGACTAGCAATATTTAAGTTTGGGGGTGTGATGAGCACTGAAAAGTGCGTATTTAAACCCCTAAAGCTTAGGCATTCTAGTACCTTTATCTGTCTTACTTTTCCGTTTTAGATTGATTTCATATTATTTCCATTTTCAGGCACTTATCCCAAAAATAAGCTAACTCAGCCAAATAAGAGCTTAATTGAAGCAATTCTGGGATTGAACAAAGAAAGGAGCAAAGCGGAGAAAGAAAGAAGCAAAATGAAGCAAAGCAGCAAGTTTGATCGATCCAAGTCCAAGGTTCGATCGATCGAACATTGATCGATCTCAGCACTTCAAGATAGATCCAAGCCTTGACCCAAAGCACTTAAGTCCAAAAGTTTTATCAATCCAACATCATTCTTCGATCGATCGAACACCTTTATTCTTATCCAAATGATTGATCATATCCACGGCTGTACTACCCACCAACCACTTTTGTCCTTTTCCCATAAATATCTCGGATTTGTCTTTTTCTAAAAAGCTCAGCCAGTTGGATCGATCCAGCCTAAGTTCGATCGATCTCACTTACTTTCGATCGATCTCACTTCTTTTCGATCGATCGAACTTCCTCCAGTGCGAAAAAGTTAAAATTCCATCCTATTGAAAGTTGTCCTTTATCCAATCATTAGGGAATATTGTGTGCACGGCCCTAGCTCATTTTGGGTCTCATTTTGACCTACCTATATAAGGATAAGGATTGCTTTTTCAAAGGAGAGCCAACATTATTTTTGATATCATCTCTTGGAGAGGAAGTTTAGAGGAGGAGGAGGTTAGAGACACCATTAGAGATCTTCATCAACAAGGAGCAAACCTCTACCATGGAGTTAGCCCTTGAGGGTTGGAGCATCCTCACCATGAGTGGCTAGACATCCTCTTTGGGCTAGAGTTAGCCCCAAGCATGCTTTCTATATCTTAATCTTGTGTATTATTGAGGGATTAGTGTTGTAATTGATGTTTTAACACTTTGATATATGTAGATCTTGTTTATTCAATGATTTATGTGGTTTAATGCTTCCAATTGGTCATTTCATTCTATCCATATGTCTATGTATGCTAGAATAGATGTTCATGTGCTTATTTCTAGATTTTGTGTTGTTGATAGATGTCTATGTGTATTGATGCCATAAATTTAGAGGTTGTCAAAACATAGTACTTAAAGGAATATTCTTTTGATTCTCTAGATGGTTCATGCTCATATCTTGATGGATTGTGTCTCCTTCTTTGCTAAATTAGTTTAATTTCAATGGCTTAATTATAGTTTAGTGATAGTATAATATTAGATGGGAAGACAATCCATGCAAGTTGTTTGATGCTCCATACTTTTGAATGCAAGTAACATTTGTCTCTAATCTTGTGTTATATTTGGATTGTGAGCCTAATGAAAAGGACCAATGATTTGTTAGATATGTTGTGCTTTTCACATGCTATTTAGACAATATATACTTAATTGCTAGATATATTGTGTTTTTCATATGTTGGTTAGACAATGTATACTTAATTAGTCATCCTTGTTTGTTGAATCAACCAAATACACACATACCACTATTGCAACACCCTAATTGCCCTCATTAATCACTTGTCAATAATATAGAAATGCATTGCTTGGTGGTGATCTCTAAACCCCAAGACTATTTTCTCTCTCTCTTACTTAATCTCCATTGCATTCAATTACTTAGTTTAATTTTGTTGCTCTTTAATCAACCTACCAACCAATTGTTTGATCACTCGACCTACTAACCCTAATAGCGATTCCACAATCAACTCCGACTCCAATCCCTTGGGACAATCCCTACTCGCCCTAGCTATATTTATAGTGAAAGGTAGTAGTGGCTTTTACAAATGTAAAACTTGACCCTCGCCTAAATTGCATATTCTCAAACGTATGGTAGGACGACGGCCATCAGAGATCAACACGACGTCCTGTTATATAGAGAGAGAAAGTGGCGATGGTGGCTGAGGGTGGTGGGTAGTGGTCGAGGGTGGTAGGTGGTGTTGGTGTATTTAGAGGTGTATATGCATAGAGAATGATGAAATGGGGAATTCTAAAAAAGGTAGGGGTAATTTTGTCTTAATTGTATAAATATTTATCAAATATGAAAGTACCATGTATAAATTGTACTAGCATTTATCTTATTTTAAGTTTGTTTTTCATATTTATCAAATTTTAAATTGTGTTCTCAATACTTATCATTTATTAAATTATTCCATCTCTAAAATGGTTCAAAACCAATGACTTGGTATGTTCAGTACCTACTATAGAGGAGTGATAAAGTAGAGTCATTATAGTGAGTACCCATCCACAGTCTCTTTTTTCATTTATTAAAAAAAAAAAAAAAAAAAAAATTATTCTTAGACCGAATTTTCTAACCTATTTGTTAGGTTTAAGAGTTTCTATCCATTTGATGTAATGAATGTGACCCACCTTTAAATTTACTCTGTTAAAAAATAGCTAGCTCAAAACTGCTTGTTTTTTTGGCTTGGTATGTATTTAAACTTAAGGATTTACTTCTTACGTGGTGGTGTCATCCATACGATTGAATAACGGAAAACAGCGAACAAAAGAGCCAAACGTAGAGGAGCTAAGTCTAAAAAACTATTTGGGGCTCATACATTGTAGTGAAGATCCAAACTTTCTTTGAAAAAGCCCAACGATTTAACAGAACATCTCATAGTGCCACAAGTACTCCATATTTGGCTTTGTAAGAAGATGAGTAACATTGGAAAAACAATTTTCTTTTTTAAAAAAAAGACAAACGGTCACACATTACATGTGACACAATTGAAGTTAGAGCAAAGTACAAATTAACTCTAAAGCCGTGACACAATACCAATCATAACTTAATAATGGATAGCTACAACATTGACCACGATGTAAGAACTCCACATGCCAAACGAAAAATGCCAGACCCACCAACGATGGACACCTCATGGTAGATATGCTTTAATGGGTTGTGGCCCATAACAGCGAGACTACTACCATTGAATTCTCCATCTACGAAGACAAAGTTCATAACCATGAGGTAGCCCATTTCAATTTGAGATGTTGAACCATAAAGGCCCTGGCATCGGCCCACGAGCTTGGAAGATATTTCGGGACCGACCGTTAATGGGTCATCCATCACAACAACCAAGCCGAAGAAGTTAGGTGATGTATAGGTTATGTTGGATTGGGCCACCGGCATGAAGGTTTGGCTCTTGCCAAGGTTCTCATGGAAGTAGAAACAAAGCTTGGCCACCTTTTCCTTTACATGGCTGAGCTTTTCGAACCACTCTTCCACTACTTTTGGCCCTTCAACAACGCCGCGAACCACCGGCGTGGCAATAACCATTGAGCAAAGCAGTAGAATCATGGGTAGCTTCTCCATTTCACTCCCCCTCTTTCTCTCACTTACTTTCTTTTTCTCTCTCTATAGACTATATGTTATGTTAGTACAAAGGTAGACTATATAGATGTAGACTATACCATATATAGATGGTTAAAATGCTTGAGTGGTTGGTGTACTTGGAAGTCATGAAAAAAGATGCTGAAAAAACAGACATGAGATAAATAGAATTTATATATATTCCAATTTTGAATTTGAATTGACACGTGATCGCTCCTCATGTAGCATAATGCTATTATGTTGACGCTAAAATCGGCTGGCTAGAGCCGATCTCAAATTGATGGAAAACGGGCGTGCCAGAACCAAATATATGGTTCAAGTGTGATTTGTCAACTTGCAGTCTCTTTTGGAAGGTTGACTTTCAGGCGATTATAGGAGGAAGAGAACAAGTATACTCCTTAATGTGTTCTAATTGCCTTAGTTAAAAGGACTTTATAGTGAATAATTTCTAGTAAATAAAGAGAGAATAGAAAGGGGAGAGAAATAGATATAGAAAGTGATAGGGAGAAGAGATAGAGAGACAGAGATGTAGGGAGAAAAATAAAATGAGATTGAAATAGATAGAGAGAGATAGAGATAGCAAGGATGCTATTTGGGGAAAGTGCTTGAGAAAGCAAACAAATAAATATAATGATTCTGAGGGTGCTGGACCTCTAGTATAGCATGCCTCTTTCTTTATTTATAGGAAAATACGTAAACCAACTTCCTAAATACAAGCACTTTAATTACATCAAAACTCTATCAAACAACTAAGTAATTATTCAAATCAAACTAATCATAACTGAATACTAATTCTTAACTAAATTTAAATACAGGATAAATATATAACTCTTATCTACTGTATTTAAAATTCAAAATAATCTTCCATCCGATCTGTGGTCCCCTTGCATATAGCTTTGCCTTTGTGTAAAACCTGCCACATCATTACTCCTTTGCCTATAACCCATATTTATGTAACTAAATAAATACTCCCTTAATATTTGCTACTTCTAGTCATCCAAACCAACCATATATGTTACATTTCCAATCATTATCCATGTAAAACTCAATCTTCCTTTAACTGCATCAATGCTATCCCAATCACAACGCAAGTCTGTCGCTTATCCCAAATTCATTACTGCCTACCTTTAACCCAATGCTTTTACGGCCCAGAATCCTCTCAGCCCAAAATTCTACTATGTCACTGTTCATCAAGCCCAATTGGAGCCTAAACCCAATTACCAAAATGGGTGTCAACAATACCCCCCAATTTTGGTAGCCGTTTTGGTTCGGCTTCCAAAATTTGATATACACCCATTGCAGAAACCGAGGGTCAATATAACCCAAACTAATTTGACTTAGTGGAGATTTTCTTTTCCTCCTTTAGTTAAAAATAGTTGGTTTATATTTTTTAAGGTACCTTCCATTTATTGGTCTCTCATGAATTTCACCATCTACATCCTTTAGCTTGTAAGCTCCTCCATGCAACACTTGGTGTACCACAAATGATCCTTTCCAAGTAAGTGACCATTTTCCATAAACTTTATCTACCTTTCCAGGTGGAAAAATTGTTTGCCATACCATGTCACGCTCTGCAAATGACTTGAACTTCACCCTTTTGTTGTAAGCCTTCATTACCTTTGCTTTATGGACCATAAGGTGGTCTAAAGCAAGTTTTTGGACTACATCTAAATCTTCCAACTCGGCAAGCATAACTTCATTGTAATCAGCAGCTATAAGATTGTGTTGTAAAGCCACCCTTGCCGATTTCACATTTAACTCCATCAGCAACACAGCATCATAGCCAAATGTTAGCCGATAAGGAGTTGTCCCAATACTTATCCGTTTCGAATTTCTATAAGCCCACAAAGATTCTGAAAGGGTTTCATGCCAACGCCTCGGCTTGTCTTTTATCATTTTCTCAATAATTTCAATAACCACTTTATTTGAAGCCTCTACTTGGCCATTCCCTTGAGCATAATAGGGTATGGAAGTTACCATTTTTACTTGCATATCAATGCCGAGTTGTAATACTTCATTTGCTCGAAACACAAACCCATTATCGGCAATAATTGTTTCTGGTAAGCCAAATCGGTGAAAGATATGTCACTCCAGAAACTGTATCACTGTGTTATGAGTTACCGATACGTATTCCCCAGCTTCTACCCATTTGGTAAAGTAATCGGTAGTTAAAATAATCCAATGATGACCCTTTGATGAAGGAGGATTAATCTTACCGATTAGATCCATGGCCTAACCTCTGAAAGGCCATGGTTTAACTAATAATTACACTTCTATTGCTGGAACCCACTGCATTGGGCCATACTTTTGACAGTCTATTCAACCCTTTGCATAAGTCATACAATCTTTTCTCATTCCTGGCCAATAATATCCATATCGGCGTATCAACCACCTCATTTTTATGCCTGCTTGGTGAGCTCCACATATCCCTTCTTGTACCTCAGCCATAATCTTGAAACCCTCAAACTTACTAATACACTGAAATTACAAACCATCATCAACCGATCTTCTATAAAGATCTCCATCCATAAGCACATAATCGACTACACTTCTTTTTATTCTTCGATCGGCTTCTGGAGTTAGATGTTGCAAGAACAAGATGTAAGGGATTCGCCAATCATCATCATCCAACTCGGCAACATCAGTGGCAAAGACTTCTTCCATAACTTGATTTCTTATTTTAGCTGACGGAAGAGATCAGCGTGTAATTTTCATTACCTTTTCCTTTATACCACTCGGCACCCTAACTCCTGAAGCAGTCTGTACTAAATCATTAGCCATTTTATTCAGGTCCTCAGTATGTATTCCAAAGTCACATTGTGAAATTGGTTGACCAATTGGGTTACCAATGAATGAAATGGTCTCAATTGCCAATTCAAACATCTAAAGTCTTCTAAGATTTGATTAATCACCAAACTTGAATCTCCCACAATGTGGACATCTCTGACTGCCATTTCTAGTAGGATTTCCAAGCCGATAATTAATGATTCATACTCGGCTTGATTATTTGAACACCTGAAATCCAAAAAGAAGGCAAACGAAGTTTGATTCCCTGTTGGGGATATTATGACTATACCAGCTCCCGAGCCTTCACTAGTACTCGACCCATCGAACATTAAAGTCCATGAAGTTATGAATATAGATGCCGAGTCAAGCTCATCAAATACTTGTGACTCAATTTCAGGCGAGGGATGATCGGCAAGAGAATCTGCCAATACTCTTCCCTTAATTGCCTTTTGTGGAACATATGCAAAGTTGAACTCCATTAGTGCCAAAGCCCACTTGCCAATCTGGCCTGTGATTAATGGCCTTGATAGCATATACTTTATAAGATCAGTTTGACAAATAATATAAACTAAAACAGGCAACATATAGACTCTTAATTTCATTGCTGCAAAATACAAAGCCAAACATAATTTCTCAATCAGTGTATTTCTACACTCGACTGGAGTTAAAACTCGGCTGAGATAATATATTGCTTGTTCACTTCCTACTTCATTCTCTTATGCTAACATAGCTCCAATGGATTCTTCAGCAGCCAATAAATATAACTTCATCGGCCATTTCTTCCTTGGTGGCATCATGACAGGAGGATTCAACAAGTATTTCTTAATCTGGTCAAATGCCCTTTGATGTGTATCATCCATTTGAATTCTTCTATCGGCTTTAATTTGAGTAGCGGGGAAAACACATGTAATATCCCAGCTATATTGGCAATAAATCTCCTAAGATAGTTCACTTGCCCAAGTAACCTCTGCAACTGCTTCTTGCTTCTCAGTGCACTGACATCAATAATTGCCTTAGTTTTATTCCTATCGATCTCTATACCCCTTTAATGAACCAAGAAACCCAAAAAGTTTCCTGCCGATACTCCAAAGGCACACTTTATTGGGTTCATTTTTAGCTTATGAGCCCTCATCCTCTCAAAGGATGCTTTGAGATGAACCAAGTGCTCCTTTTTTGTTGCTGATTTTACCACTACATCATCAATATACACCTCCATAAACTTGCCAAGCATATCATGAAAAATAGAATTCATGGCCCGCTGATATGTGACACCAGCATTTTTCAACCCAAAAGGCATTACCACCCATTCAAAAGTTCCAATCGATCCGGGACACCTAAAAGCTGTCTTTGGAATATCCTCCTCGGCTATATAAATTTGATTATAGCCTGAGTGTCCATCCATAAAAGACATAATTTGGTGCTTTGTAGCCGCATCAATCAGTTGATCGGCTATCGGCATTGGATACTCATCTTTTGGAGTTGCCAGGTTTATGTTTCGGAAATCAACACATATACATAATTTTCCATTCTTCTTGATAATAGGGACTACATTTGATAATGGTTCAACATACCTTATAGTTCGAATGAAGCCAGCATCCAACAATCGTTCGATTTCCCCTTTGACTTTATCTATAACCTCTTGAGACATTCAACGAGGTGGCTGTTTATATGGCTTGTAACAATCTTTAATGGGCAGCCGATGTTCTACCAGATCTCTAGATAAACCCGGCATTTCCTCATATTTCCAAGCAAAACAATCACTGTATTGCTTCAACATGCCAATAACCTCGGCTTGTAATTCTGGTTCTAACAGTGCACTGATATAAGTTGGTCTAGGCTCTGCATCAGTGCCTAAATTCACCTCCTTTAATGGATCCTGAGTTTCTGCTTTAAGATCATCGAGCTTAGCTGGTGCCAATTCCAAGTCTTCCAACTGAATTGCATCCAACTTTTCATTATTGAACCGATTGACCTCAGTAAGATTAACCGATGGTCCTGGCTCTATTATTGCTTCTTTTTCTAGCCGTTTTTTGGCTATGTATGCTTGTAGCCTAATGCAAGCGGCCCTAAAGACCTGCTGCCGAGCAGCTTCCCTTTCAAATTTTGCTTCCATCAACAACTTCTTCAATTATAGCAAGCCGAGGAAATTCTCCTGCTGTAACTCGCCGATTTCACTATCGGCAAGACTTTTTCTC